TTTATTATTTGCATTTCTTTTCTATCTCGTCAATGATGCACTGCCAAATAGGAGCACTAGAGAGACTAACATAACAGAAATTTTAAAGCCTGTATCCTTGCTTCTAATATCTAAGAACTTAATAGAGGATACTATCCTCTCATAAAGAAAACAGCACAAAAATATAAAGGTACACTGATTCACTTAATAAATTAACACACTATTGATAATTTGTTGTTGTTCAATAGCTAAGTCATGTCTGACTGCAGTCTCATGAACTGCAGCACGCCAGGCTTCCCTGTCCTTCACTATCTGCTGGAGTTTGTTCAAACTTATGTCCATTCAGTGAGTAATGTCATCCAACCATCTCATCCTGTCACCCTCTTCCCCCTTCTTGCCCTCAATCTTTCCCAGCATCAGTCTTTTCCAGTGAGTTGTCTAATTGTAGTAGATAGCCAAAGTATATTGGAGCTACAGGTTCAGCACCAATCATTACAATGAATATTCAGGTTTCATTTCCTTTAGGATCAATTGATTTGATCTCCTTGCTGTCCAAAGGAATCTCAAGAATCTTCTCCAGCACAACAATTTGAAAGCATCAGTTCTTCGGTGCTCAGCCTTCTTGATGGTGCAACTCTCATATTCATACATGACTACTAGAAAAACCACAGCTTTGACTACACAGACCTTTGTTGGCAAAATGATATCTCTGCTTTTTAATATGCTATCTAGGTTTGTTTGGTCTTGGAGTACAAAATGAAGAGGGGCTAAGGCTAATAGTTTTGCCAAAGAACACACTGGTCACAAAAAAACACACTCTTCCAACAACACAAGAACTGTCTCTGCACATGGACATCATCAGATGGTCAATACCGAAATGAGACTGTTTATATTCTTTGCAGCCAAAGATGGAGCTCTGTATAGTCAGCAAAAACAAGACCAGGAGCTAACTGTGGCTTAGATCAAGAATTCCTTATTGCAAAATTAAGACTTAAATTGAAGAACATAGGGAAAACCACACTACACCATTCAGGGATAACCTAAATCAAATCCCTTATGACTATACAGTGGAAGTGACAAATAGATTCAAGGGATTAGATCTGATAGATAGAGTGCCTGAAGAACTATGGACAGAGGTTTGTAACACTGTACAGGAGGCTGTGATCAAAACTATCTTCAAGAAAAAGAAAGGCAATAAGGCAAAAAAGAATGCACAGGAGACCCACTTGACTTCACATTCCAGGATGTCTGGCTCTAGGTGAGCAATCACACCATCATGATTATCTGGGTCATGAAGATCTTTTCTGTATAGTTTGTCTGTGTATTCTTGCCACCTCTTCTTAATATCTTCTGCTTCTATTAGGTCCATACCATTTCTGCCCTTTACTTTGCATGAAATGTTCCCTGGTATACCTATGGCTGATTCATGTTTATGTATGGCAGAAACCAACACAATGTTGTAAAGAAATTATCCTTCGGTTAAAATAAATACATTGAAAAAAATAAAACCTCTGCAAAAACCCATTCTATAAAATTATAATTCTATATAATTAAAATTATAATTATATATACTACAAATCTACATTGAAGTATGGCCCCTGTGAAAACTAAAAATGGATACATCACTTTCACAAGGGAAGATGTGGGTCTTAACTTTTCTTTGGATTCTCTGATCGTGTTGAGTATGAAGCTCTATTAAACAAAGTTTAAAACACCTAAACTATCTTCCTGGATTAGTACTTGTACTATGATGCAAAGCACACATGAGATATTTCAATGGTAATGAGAAAGGGCCCAATGGTATCAAGAAAGGAGCTTAGTCTAAAAGAAAAATTAGGTAACTTTTGATTCAAAGAATATGAGAGCACTGTGAACATCTGAATGATTTGTTTAGCTGTATAAGTATGCACATAATGAAAATGGTCACTATTTATCTACTAAGTTTTTGTTATTCAAAATTTTGATAGTTAATTAGAAATGCATTCAGGACACTGACCCCAAAAGACTTCATCATTTATCATATTATTTCTTGCCTAGAAAATTACACTATCAATTTTTCTCCTACAAAAAGACAAGTTTTTGCAATAATTATGAGAGTTCAGTTAATAATGGGAAGTTATACAACATTTACATCCTGTGTTGTAGTTTGGATTCCAGCCTGAAGACAAAGGACCACTGTCATCTTGAGTAAGAGAGCTAATAATATTGTACATATGCTCAGTGGCTTAATGCTCAGTCACTAATTAATTAACTATAAACTGTTTTGGAAAGTGTATAAGTTCAGCTCTATAGCTTTGTATGGGCAAGGGTCTTGTAAGTGAATATAAATCACTACCACATTCATATAGAACCATCTCTTCTCATAAAACTAAAGACATTCAAGCAATGTTGATCTTTAATGAAGGGGTTCAAATTATTAACAAAGGGCTAGTTTGAGATTAAATGTGACACAGGAATGAGTTTCATTCACATTAATGTTGGTCATTTGGCATAACTGGCAGAGATTAATGAGGTAAATTAAAAATACATTTCAATGCAATTTATTACTCATGTGAGAGTGTCAAGTTCCTCAGCCCCATATTTTCGTTAAAGTATAAAAGGGATTATTGAAAATTTCATTATATCTCTACTGTGGACTTGTTTGCTTCAAATTAACTTGAGCTTTATAATGATGATAGACATTAAGGATATTAGTCAGAATACCAACTAACATTGCTCACTATGTGCCAAGCCCTACAGTAAGTGCTTTATAATCATCTCTTCACTCGCAGAAATGACCTATGAAATGGGCACTATTACAACCTCCATTTTATAGATGAGGAAACTGAGGCTCAAGAGAGGTTATCTAACTTGTTCAGTGTTATAGTGTTAAGAACACAGAATTAAAATTCACAGCCAGATCAGTCTGATTACAGAGGTGGCACTCTGCTGTACTGTACCTCACATCCAGTCTCCATTTGCTTTATTAATGTAAAAATAATAGGAGAGCAAAAGATATCATCAAAACTCAAAGATCAAATGGAAACCAACACTTTATAGGTAAGTGTGTGAAGTTGCTCAGTCATGTCCGACTCTTCGCAACCCCATGGACTATAGCCTACCACGCTCCTCTGTCCATGGGATTTTCCTGGCAAGAGTACTGGAGTGGGCTGCCATTTCCTTCTCCAGAGGATCTCCCTGACACAGGGATCGAACCTGGGCATCCCGCATTGTAGGTAGACGCCTTATCATCTGAGCCAGGACTTCCCGGGCAGCTCAGATGGTAAAGAATCTGCCTGCAATGCAGGAGACCTGGGTTCGATTCCTATGTCGGGAAGATCCTCTGGAGAAGGGAAAGGCTACTCACTCCAGTATTCTGGCCTGGATAATTCCATGGACTGTATAGTCCATGGGGTCACAAAGAGCTGGACATGACTGAGTGACTTTATAGGTAAAGTGATATATAAAACTTTTGGTATATACCTTTAGATATTTTCCACTCCTTGGTCAGGGAAGAGTGATAACATTTTATGTAGACTTCTTAATTGAGGTTAGAAACAGCCTAATAAGACAACAGGAACTTCTCTGGTAGCTCAGTGGTAAAGAATCTGCCTGCCAGTGCAGGAGATGTGGGTTCAATCCCCTGAGTCAAAAAGATCCCTTCAAGGAGAAAATGACAACCCACTCTAGTATTCTTGCCTGGGAAATCCCATCAACAGGGGAGCCTGGTGGGCTACAGTCCATGGGGTCGCAAAAGAGTTGGACACAACTTAGTGACTAAACAACAAGACAATGACGGAGTTTTAAGCTTGGGTTTCATGTATGCATAGAACTATACGCCCTCAGGAGAGGAAATACTTCACCCAAGTCATATCTCCCCTGAAGGCGACCTGGATCTTTATGTTCAACTCAGGGCTCTACAGTGAGAGACACCCAGCAGTAACCTCTGAGATTTTCCTGGTGTGGTCATACAAGGCTGAATCCAATCCAGATGTGTTTTCTTGTACCCACATAGTGTTCATTTGCTTGTTTTACTTTAACCAACGACCCACATTAAAAAAGTAGAAAATGTTTATAGGAAAAAAAAATTTTTTTATTTTCATCTTATGTTGTTAAGTAAGTTTTAGCAAAACTGATCCCAGATTTCCTTATGGGAAGCCCTTGGCTGATTTTGAGTTACAATTGCCTCCTTTAGACAATCGAAGGGTATTCTCCATCCTGACTCAAAGCTGCTTTACCGCAGACATCCTCTTGCCAAGCCTCTTTTGACATTTAAGTGGCTCCTCCTGACCTAGAGAAAAACCTCATCCACCAACTAGATTCAAAAACCTATTACCTGGTGCTGAACTGGTGATGTACTGCACCCTCTTTTATTTTAACCTGGTGATTTGATGCGCCTCTTTTCCAGAGGCATGGTAAAAAGATCACAACAGTGGCATGAAAACAAAAGAATTCTGAAGCAAATGGGTGATCTGAATCTTTGAAAAGTTTGTTTAAAATGGTAACAAAGCCACTAATACATATTTATTTAATTTTGTGAGGAAGTAATATTTTAAAAGTGGTGATTCACCATCAGCATATTTAATAAGAGTCAAATGAGTTTAAAATTTAGTACAAATAATTTTCTTCGTTAATTTCAATTCATACAGAGCATTCTACTTTGAGGTTTTGAATGACTCCATTAAAAACTCTTCATATAGAAGATATGTGCTTAAGTATATTTTATATATTATGTATGAAGTAACAAAATAATTTTACAATATAAAATTATATATATACATATACACTTATATTTATGTATACGTATGGAGAAGGAAATGGCAACCCACTCCAGTATTCTTGCCTTGGAAACCCATGGACAGAGGAGCCTGGCGGGCTACAGTTCATAGGGTTGCAAAAAGTCAGACACAATTAAAGCAACTTGGCACGCATGCACACATACAAGTTACATAAGTATACATGTGTGTACATATATATGTCCTTCCAAACTATTCCCAATTAACTTTAAATTACATTAATATGTTATAATAGAAAATTCTTACCTCAGCCAGAAAAACGACTAAGCACCAAATTAGCACAAACATTAAGCTCTTGTGGACAGTAATATATCGAAGGTACGTGTTCCATGTAGTCACTGCTGGTATGTTCTCCACATCATCAAAAAAGCAATCCTGTAAAAAAAATCCTGGTTATTACAATGAGGCAATACAATTTCACACAACAATTGTGGTCTTATTTTGAATGTGAGGAAATAAAGAAATATTACTATCTGAAACTAAGTGAATTTCAGTGAACATAAACCATTAGGAATGACACATGCTATGTCACTTCACAGCCAGTCAAACTGGAGCAAGATAGCTTCTTGCAGAAATGAGAAACACTGCAGTTCTTTAAACTGTGAACATAGTATCGCTGATAATACAACTATATTGTTTTGGACAATTTTACCATTTTAATGCTTAACAATGTCACACATTTGATCAATAAATGGTACTAGTGAATTGAAGCTTCCCAGAATCCCCCTGATTTAACTCTCTGCTTTGGGGGGTCCATGGAAAAATACAGTTTGGAATTTTGCCAGCTCTAGTGGTCTTCCAATAGACCTGAAGGCTGCCTGATGCTTGTACATTCCATAGTAGCTAGGATTCTCTTTCCCAACTATGACTTAAGTTATGTAAATCTAACCCTCAGTCTTCATCTGTTATTTGAGAGCTATAGTTCAATAATTTGAAAGAGAGAAATTCCAGATATTTCAAATGGAAAGGATAGTTTTTATTACCAACAAAATTCACAGAAGAAGCGCTAGAATCTCAAAGAACCCTATGATATCAGAATATGGCACACTGGTTAGGTATAAGATTTTTGAAGTCAAATAAACCTGGTTTTGATACTGGACTCTACCATTGCCCTCCTAGGAGCTGCTTGAATCCAGGCAGCTAAACTTCCCTAAAATTTAGTTTGCTTATCTGTAAATGAGGATAATGACAGGTCCCTTCTATTCTATGTTCATGGCACTAGAAGCAATCAACAAATACTATTATCAGTCGAAGTGATCATCTTTACCATTCAATTTATAGAATCCAGTTTGAGAAATTCATTCAGATTGATAATTACAACCATACAGATAAATTATCTTTCAGGAAACCTTTTTCAGAATTATAGAAACACAAAGTAGGTACTTTAGGGATCACCTATTCTGTTCCCTCATTTAACAAAGAAGAAAACTTTGGCCCTAGACGTTAAATGACATGCGACTTGCCAAAGTTCACACTACTCTTAATTGATCTATGCTATTAAACATATCAATTGATTATAACACTATTTCATCCAAAGCACTGAAGGAACTTTTCTAGTAAAACTAAAAAATAAAAACTTCCTCTTTCCTACTGCTTCCTAAGAAAGAAAGCATTTTATTCTTTAGAAAATACTTTCTACCTGAAAGTTGGCAGTAATATATGTTGAATTTCACAAACCTTCTTTAAAAGAAACCTGCCCAGAAATCCTATGTATAAAGCCAATTTAAAAGATGATAAAGCTCAGATTTACTAAGTTCAGGCAAGACTGATGTATAAACCAGAAAATTAGTCCTATTGAGAGACTAGATGTATATACGCCTTAGCGAGGTTACCTGCATACAGAAACATTTTTTAAAGCTCTCAATAACTGAAGCTACTATTTGTTTATGTATTTATTTTCACTCCACCTCTTCCTACAGAGGTTTTAAGGGGGTAATGAAACGGATTTATAATAATTTATAATTTTTCTAATTGATAATAATAATTATTACTGCTTAGAAAAGGACCCAATAATAGCCCTTGCTTTGACTTACAATACATCTTATGGTAAGAGACAAAAGAAAATCACAAAGGGAAATAGCTGATTCTTCTACATCTTGAAGTTGCTTACATAATGTACATACTTTGGACTTTGGGAATCTTAAAAATAAACCTCATCCTAAACTCAAATTTAAGTAAGTTTTGCTATTTACTCTGTATTTCATTCCATTCTGTGGCCAAAAGAAAAAACCAAACACCACACTGATAATTTATACACACCCTTAAATCTTCTTCATTAATTTCTTCACTTATTTCCAAGCCAGTATCCTGAGATAACCGTCTTGAATATATATCTATTTCGGCTAAGCTTGCCTGAGGAGCCAGTGACATTTTTCGTGTGGATGTCGCTGTCTTTCGATGAATGCTTTGACCTTGGTTCACTGAGGAGCAGGTCATAAGGTTCAGAACTGACTGCCTCCTCCCTCCCAGAAATGTGGGGCCACTGTTGACTGCATTGCTCCGAGGCAGGATCCCCTCTCCAGGTTGAGAATGGGGAACTAAGGATAGTCTTCTCTCTAAAGGCTCATCAGAAGTTTCTTCGAGCCCATTCATTTGTAATGAAGTCTTTTGTGCAACTGAAAATTTCCTTTTAGAGTTGATTGAATTGAGAATGGAGTTCTTCCTTTTTTCACCAAACTCTCCAGTCTGTTTAAAAGAAGGCTTTTTCGTTTCATTCCAGGACACAGAAGTATCTCCTTCTAATGAGAAACGCCGTAAAGTCTCAGTTATGATTGAATTTCTTCGTTCTGCAGTAAACTGGTCGAAAGTGTCACACCCCATGAGCTTCGAGCTGAAGTCGGGCCGCTGATTTTGTAATTCAGAAAATGTCCCATAAAAATAGATGCTACCTTCATGTAAAATTAATATTTTGTCAGCTTTCTTTAAGTGCTCCATTTTAGAAGTGACCAAAATCCTAGTTTTGTTAGCCATCAATTTACAGACACAGCTTTAAGAATATAAAAATATATAAATATTAATTTTATAAACATTTTATTATAATAGTATATGTATTATATTTTAACATTTTATTAATATACTCCTGTATATAACTTCTATTATAAAATGTTATTACTACACTTAAATAATTCTAAAAGTAAATATTCAATAGTAATTAATTTGGTACTTCTTGATTAAATATGTCATGAAATACTGTGTTATTTAATTATTATAGTATGCTACACCATAAAGTTGAGTGTTAATGGACCTAAAATGAAATTAAATACCCAACATTAAATAAACATTTGACTTTGAACAAACTAGTTACCCTTTGGGCTGTGGCTGATTCATCTAGAAGATGAGAGAATCAGATGACCTTTAAGATTCCTTAGAGGCTATATTTCTACATGTCTTCTAAAATGTCAGAACTTTCTTGTTCTTTAAATTTTCTGCTCATTTTCTTTTATATTTTAAGTTGACCACTAATTAAGTCCTCAAAGTTTATACTGTACAGTAGGACCTAACATATCATAAAGTAACTATATTCCAATAAAAAGTTAATTTTAAAAACCTTAAGACTAATTTGCTTGTTAAAAACACAACAATAACCTGAGAATTGTATAAGAAACCTGAACTTCCTCCAACAAAATTTCCCTCCAGTGTAGAAGTAAATCCTGACTAGAACCATCTAAAGAAGACCAATTTCTTTTAGGCATTAAAACATTATATATTTTATGGAAAGAGCCATAATTCTAGACTAACACTTTAACATACTAATACAACTAGCAAAATTTATATTGGTAAGAAGGTATTTATAATTACAGGATTGTAAAAATAGTATCACAGGTATTAAATTTAATCAAATTCTAGGAAAGGTGCTTCTAGGAATAATGTGGTGATTTAATACACACATACATCTACATCCTTACTGATTATTTTAAACTACTTCATAGTCTACAAAATCATTTTGATACTTTAAAATCAAGTCATATAACCAACTGTTCCTCTTAGGAACTTCACATACATTGAGCCCTAATGGGAGCTCCAAGAAAATGTACACCCCAAACTCTGTGTTCCTGAGAAAGAGGTTCTGAAGGAGGTATTGAGGTAGACGAATACTTAGAGCATTCACCTATATTAAAACATCAAAACATTCCATTTCTTTGGTTCCTTAAGAAGTTTACTATCTAAGGAGTAAAATACACAAAAAGTAAATAAAAAATTTGAGTATAACAATCAATTTAAATAATATAAACTATGTCACAAGACAGTAATACTATGAAAACTCCATAGACAGTGATTGTTAAAGTAACAGCAATGGGAGAAATGGGTTCAGCATAAGGTGGACAGAAAAGTGAAGTGATCTTGACCATGGAGGGAAGATCAGATTTAAGTAGCTAAATTACACAATGCCACACTAAGTCAGTGGTTGACCTTATTTCTCAAGGAATAACATGTAGCCTATGGTTGTATAGTCATTCTTTCTTGTCTCTTAGAATGAGTATTACAAGTTATTCAAGAACATACCTTTCAAATATTTCTTTCTCTGTTAAAACATCTAGATAGCCAAAAGGAGAGTCCAATAGGTACAAATCAGCATCTTTGTATACTGCTCTAAAAAAGAAAATGAAAATTAAATTAAATTCCTTCAATATTTACCATTTCATTTGGTGTAGATGATTTTAAATAAATTTAAAAAGATAAGTCACATAGGATTTTTATAATTTTGCACAATACTCCAAAAACTTCTGAGGTCGTTTTGCTAAGTGTAAGTGACATACACTTGCAGAAGTTACAAACTAAATCACACCATACATATAAATTTAAATATTGCCTTAAAAAAGAAAAAGGAAGAAAGAAAACCTTTCAACAATAGTACCTATTTACAGCAAGCACTATGTTACATGCTGGGAATACAATGGTAAAAATTACACAAGCCCTGTTCTCAGCAATCTTGCATTTTGCTGGGGAAACAAAGAAAAGAAGAATGTTTCAATCCTGTTAAGTGCCAGCAACAGCAACTAAATCTCAGCACTTAAGTGAGATTACTTTATTTTTTTTTCATTGTTGACTGTTAGCAATAAACCAATAGCAGGACTGTTACAACTGTATGATTGATATTGCTCTTTGCTCCTTACAGTCCTAATTTATGGACCATACTCATAAAAGTTCCACAAAAGTGCAGGATGCAAAACTTGCAATAACAATGTATACCCAAATTATTTTATATTCTAAGTTAAAAAATAAAATTTTATGAGCAAGTAAAATCTTCATTAAGTTCATCATAGGACAGGGATAAAATGAAGATATGGTTCCATATGAATGGAAATAAGGTTATTTCTTCATAACATCTAAATTTTTCAGCTGTGAGTTGTGAGTAACCCTATACCTATACCAACCACATACAATTCAGTGTTTACATGTAATTCTGAAAAAAAGAAACTATGTCTATTCAGCAGGTAACTATGAGAAATAAAATAATTAAAAACAGAAATGGCAAAAAGTCAAAGCAAAATCTAGAAGAAACTTTGCAATGCAAATTACTTTTGAAAACAACATTCAGGAGCCAGATAAAAGACCCCCAACAAAATGTACCCTCAAGAGCTTTCTTCCCATACTCAATTCTTCTCTCTCTCTCCTTCACATTTATGACCAGGTGCTCAGTCACCTCAGTCGTGTCCAACTCTTTGTGACCCCCATGGACCTTAGCCTACCAGGCTTCTCTGTCCATGGGATTCTCCAGGCAAGAACACTGGAGTGGGTTGCCATTTCCTTCTCCAGGGGATATTCCCGACCCAGGGATCGAACCCAGGTCTCCTGAGTTCCCTGCATTGCAGGCAGATTCTTTATCTGCTGAGCCACCAGGGAAGCCCCATTTATGACCACAGTTTATCAAGAGATTAGAATAATATACACATCATCCAAAACTGGTCAACACATGACATATTCAGATCAGAAGAGCAATAAACAACTATTTCGTTTAATGCCGCAAACTGTATTTTATAATAAAACTGAATCTTCAACTGGTAAATACAGACTCAATTCTATGCTAAAGTTTGAAGCCGTATAGCATGTTTTCCTAAATTTGAAATGAAATGTTTAAGACAGTCTTACTTAGGCTCACAGATTAATCAACTTTCCTGTACTCAGAAGCCATTATTTTGTCTGTGAATTACTCATATCTATATATGGGCTATATAGATATACTGGACTTCCCTGGTGGCTCAGTCGGTAAAGAATCTACCTGCCAATGCAGGAGACACTGGTTCAGTCCCTGGATGGGAAAGATCCCCTGGAGGAGTAAATGGCAACTCACTCCAGCATTCTTGCATTGGAGAATCCCATGGACAGAAGAGTCTGGTGGGCTACAGTCCACGGGGTTGCAAAAGAGTTGGACATGACTTAGCAGCTACATAACATAATTGATTTATTACTTGACATTGTAATCCCAAAGTCGAGTCATGGTTTAATGTAAAGTCAAGATGACCTGATTCAAACTGTAACTCTACCATTTCCCAGTGTGGCTTTTGGCAAGTTAAGATCTAACCACCTCAATTACCTCATAATCTCTTCCATAAAAAGTGGGAATAGTTCTTTTTTGGCAGAGTGATATGCGGATTAAGTAAAATTACACATGTACTCAAGCACACCCCACCCAGAATAGTACTAGGTAATTATAAGTGTTCAGTGAATTAGTTTCCTCCCAGCTTTTGGAAACATGAGAAAATAAGGGGGAGAAAGGCCAAAATATCAGTAAGTCATTGTGATTTCTTGTTAATAACTTCAGCAACACACTAAGACAAATTTTATTCAAATAAACCTGGAGGAACATTTAATATCCCACATCATCAATATTTTTTTAAACTGAATATTATTAACCACAAATTAACTTTTATACACACACACACACACACACTTCTCTTTGACAGCTCAAAATGCTTAGACCAAGAATATCTCTACCAAGAGACCACCATACCCCATACATATTAGTTGTGCTTCTCCCATTTATTTTTCTTTGAAGATTACAGACTTTAAGCTTAAGTACATCATCTGCCCTGCTATTTCTGTTGTGAGATTAATTAGTTATGTTGAAAATCTTGAAAATTTATGTTTATCTAAACCAAGAAACAAAACCAGAAGCCTAGAGCAGATGTGTACGTTTTGGGATAGGGTGAGCAGGGAACTGTATGGAGGACTAAATAAAAGTATACATCTTCTCTTCCCTGTGCTAGGCAGAATGTTAGGGTTTTCCATTTGAAGGGAATCATAAGTCAAGCAAACAGATACACATTAACAAAAGGGTACGCATTTTTAAAAAGCCATGAACTTTATCAGATATAAATACTATATCATTATGTATAGTTCCAAAAGGTTAGTCTTAACCTGCTAGCTATAAGATCTTGGGCATTTTTTAATTCCAGAAAGAGGATATAACGAAACAGAGAACTATCTATAATGTTTTGCACTCATTTATACAACAAATGCTTGCTGGACCAATAAGCCGATATTCACCTTGCTAAAGAAATTCTTGCTCGTTGACCTCCACTCAATGTGATTCCACCTTCTCCAATAACTATGTTGTCTTTTTCTGCAAACTTGGAGATGTCCTATTATCAAAAATAGAAAGTTAGGGAAAAAAGAAAAAAATAGAAAGTTAGGAATTGTCAGTATGTCAGATCTGAATTTAAAAGGTACATTTTCCTTCAAATGTAATCATGTATCAGACTTCCACTGAAATCACAGCAGAAACTGTGAACATCGCATCTCAGCTATTTCAAATGCATTTCAATTGGTCAAAACATCGCTGAAATTTCATAAAGAAATTTTTCTTTAATTTTCCAATTGCTATTTATGATCATTAAATAAGAACTGGAAAATATAAAAAGTAAAGCATATGCAAATTTAAGATGTAAAGATGTGCCATCCACTGACCATTAAACAAACCCAGGGCTATTAACATGCTAACATGTACTTCCTTCAAATCTAAATCCACCCTTTTAAAAGGAAATCTCCAAAGGTGAATAAACCTCCTAATAAGGAAACAAAAAGAATATCATTTACATCTCCCTGCAGTATCTAAGCATACTCAGTGGGCGACCATGAGTACAAGGCATCTCCTTTCCACACTTCTCTCACCTACTCACCCCCCCCAAACAACACAGCTCTCTTCCTCATGCATCCTCCCACCTCATCCTTAGGTCATCTCTCCATCTACTCTGCCTCTCCTGTCACTTCCCTGCCACATGTGTCCTTTCTTCAGTTCATGAGATTTTCTGTGGCAACAAGCAGGCTAGACACTCTAAAAGATCAGAATTTATAAGAAATTGTCTTCAAATTGCCATCATTGTAAGCCTAACTCAGAAGATAAGCCATAATTCTGGAAAAAGCTGGAAAACATCCCAAAGGATCAATTAACCACTTTAAGATAAAACAAGACACAAAATTAATTGGCCAATTAATTCTTCTGAATATAGAAGTATTATAAAGTAGGCAGAAAATGCTAGAAGGCTTTCTGGAATAGATGAGGTTTGCCCTGAGACTTGAGAATGAGGAGTCAGGTGAATAGTATTCAGGTGCTCAGTGGTAAAGAATCCGCTTGCCAATACAAGAGATACAAGTTCGATCCCAGATTGGGAAGATCCCCTGGAGAAGAAAATGGCAAGCCACTTCAGTATTCTTGCCTGGGAAATCCCATGGACAGAAGAGCCTGGCAGGCTACAGTCCAGGGTTGCAAAAGACTTGGACACGGCTTAGCAAACTAAGCAACAATTCTGTCTTTAGTTCAAAACGTCTTTGCCTTTTCTTTTCTCATCCCCATATATATTCTCTTTTCTCTTGTTACCACCTTCTTCTCTCTTAAAAATACTCTTCAAGTCTCCTTTTTCTTTCACAACCCAGAAGTAGTTCATCTGTTCTCCTTGATCTGACACTAACATTATCTATATTTAAACTGCCAAAATGGTTACTTTTATTATTTCTGTTATCTACCACATGAAAGTTAAATAGAACTTCATATACAAAACTGTCAATTTATAGCTGGTAAATTAGTAAGTAATCATTTATATTATGAACTAGCTGGCAGCTCCTCTAGGCTGAAACCAAGCCAGCCACTGCCTCCAAGGAACTGCTGTTGTCAATACTCTTGACCTAAGAGGACCAAACATGATTTTTTTTTTAATGTGGTTTAAAAAAAAAAAAAAAAAAAACACTACCATGTAAGAGAAGATACAGCAAGACCCAGGGAAGCTGGTTACTCAGGCACTGGAGTAGATCACTGAGACCCATAGAGCACTGCAGTGAGGAGGACCTTCCATAATTATAAGACCCAGGAAAACAAGTGCTTCATTTGTTTCTACTGGACCAAATTTTTTTGGTTCAACTTATGAACCAGACCACATACCTATGATTCCATCCAAATAACAAGGATTGCAGCTAAATTCCACACCCCTGTTTTAAGTCTCAGTCTTGCTGAAGGAGCATACCCAGGAGCACCTCGACCTTGAAGCCTGAACTGAGCTGTTCTACGCGGCACATCCTCTGCCCTCGATCTAGAGCACTTGGTAAAACAACTCACAGGTGTATTTCTTCTCAACTGTACCATCTTTCCCTTACCCATATTCCATTCCCTTTTAGAAAATTAAATCTTCCAGAGAAAAAAAAGAATATGTTTTCATATATGAATAAATTGAGTGTAGGCTTCTGTAAAGGAGGCATATTTTCTAACACAATCTGAAAAAGCCAGAGGTTACCGGAATTATTGGAGCTTTTTTTTTTTTTTTCAGATTTGAATTAAATACAGTTTTAGTTAAATCAGATAAAACTTCTAATTTTTAAAATTTAGAAATATCAGTAGCTATCTTGATGGTATGATTATAACACAGTTATAGACTTGGAGGGTGCAGAATCCTAGCCCAGTGCAACAATTTAACAAAGATTTGTGGAATGAAGGAAGAAAAGAGGAGAGAATGGAGAAAGGGAAGGCAAACAAATATTAAGCTACAAAGAAAGAGGTATATATAAGATAAAGAAAATGAAGAAAGGTGTAAGCCTAGAGAAAGAAAGAAAATGGGGAAGAGAATAATTGTCAGAAGAAACAGATATCAACAGGAAAAAGCAGGAAGATAGTTGCAGCATAAAGAGACAAGAAAAATGAATGGGAATATAGGAAATGATAGAAGACAAGGAGTTACAGTTGACACTTTAGCAAATATCCCTGCTGAATTTGAATGTCCAAAGAATACAAATGTAATTTATTACAATAATTTTCTTAAGACAATATATACGAGATTGTTTCAGCCAAATATCTCTCACAGGAGCCTGTAATACTCATCCTTTCAACAAGCCAAGGAAATAGGAGGGAAAAGGAAACTAAAAAATCTCTTCCTTCTTTCCTACATGAACAGGCCGAAACATAACACTAGAGAAAGAAATCAGAAGATCCTCAAGTGAGCTCAAGCTTTACACACTCAGATTGAATGGAATATCATCAAATTCCTCCAAAAAAAAGACCAGGAATAGCACTTCCTTTGAGTACCACTCCTCAAATCCTGACTTGGAGCTGGTCCAGGGAAAAAAGAAAATACATTAAGAAAATGAAAATTCAAGGAAGGAACTGCTTAAATGGTTTCTCAGAACCACGTTAATCTATTTCAATTATAATACAAGCTACTGTTTCCTTTTTATCAGTATCAGATTTTAAGTTCCTATGACAATGAACTCTACCCTATGCCTGGGGTGCTCAGCACTCAGTCAGTAAGCCACGCCTGCATCCCTGGGATGCCCAGGCCTGCCTGGAATGGTGCTTGGTGAGTCAGTCACCTTCTTTGGCCTGGCTTAGACAGAATGGGATTTCTCAGGGTGAAACTTCCACTCATATTTGGGAGAATATGGATTTGAACCCTGGTCTATAAGCTATTGTGAAATCTCAGTTACTTAACAGCTTTGTAATTTAATTACAAAGAATTCTAATTCTAAAATAAAGCTTAAAACAAAATAGAAAATATGAATGGCAACACTGACTACAGAACACAGTGGCCTATTTTCCAGTTGTTTCCATTAATAACTAGATAAGTAGCTTTGAGCAAGTCTCTTCTGGGCTTCAGTTCTCCATCTATAAAAGGGAATAAAAGTACCTTCCCTTAATAGGTTCAAAAATTTGAAGTAATTTAATATAAAGTGCTTGGTCCATAAATCATACTCAAACATTGGTGATGTACAGTTTTAGAATGAGATGTTTACCAATGATTTGTATACATCATTCATTTCCATTTGGCCTTGAATAAAATGTTCACCTGATGTAATACTATGCCCCACTCTCCTACTAAAGGAAAAGCAAATTCTAATTAGCCTGAAAATATAGCCTTTATTCATATTATCATAAAAATGTACAAGGGATAATGTAGGGGAAAAGAATTGGACTGAGAATTGGAAGTCCTATGATCAAGTCCTAACTTTGTAAGTCTTCACCAAGTGTACTTTTGTTGAGGTTGCTATGTACACGGTCACATATTTTGAAACTTAAAGTTCAAGGTTCTTAAGAGTGACACCATATTCTTAAGAGTGACACCAGATTAGATCTAGATACTTTCCAAATGCTACCACTTTGAAGATGGCTGTTTAATTTTATTTAACATTTTGCTGTTGTTAAGTCGCTAAGTCGTTATGTCTGATTCTCTCATGACCCTATGGACTATATAGTCTGTCAGACTCTTCTGTCCATGGGACCTCTCAGGCAAGAATACTGGAGCAGGTTGCCATTTCCTTCTCCAGAGGATCTATCTATGCTATATTGTGCTACGACAGTTTTATTCATCTTATTATCTTCTCAATATAAAATAATCAAAGGGAGCCTGCTACTGCTAAGTCACTTCAGTCGTGTCCGACTCTGTGCGACCCCATAAACAGCAGCCCACCAGGCTCCCCCAATCCTGGGATTCTCCAGGCAAGAACACTGGAGTGGGTTGCCATTTCCTTCTCCAATGCATGAAAGTGAAAAATGAAAGTGAAGTCGCTCAGTCGTGTCCGACTCTTAGCGACCCCATGGACTGCAGCCCACCAGGCTTCTCCGTCCATGGGATTTTCCAGGCAAGAGTACTGGAGTGGATTGCCATTGCCTTCTCCGCAAAGGGAGCATAGGGAAGGTCAATTCTTTACCTTCTCTTTTCCAAGAAACGTTTTCACACTTTTAGGATGATTCTGTAGTATTTGATTTGAAATTTCCACTATAATATGTTTTAGCAGTACAAATAAACAAGAAGACTATTTTTAAGTACCCACATTTTTCTGCTAATTAACTAAGATACTACTGAATGAAGAACACCTAGTTAGACAAATAAATATTTTAGCAATCAACACTACAGTAGCCTTCTTCATGAGTCAACATCAGAATTCTATAATAAGAAAGTAGATGGACACAAGCTGCTTTCAAGGAAGCTCTGTGCTCGAATTCATTTGTCCAAATTTTTTTTGCAGTCTGGACTAGACTGGACTGGAAGTGTAAGGTTTTGTATTTCAAATTATATAGGTCTATCAGATGTTCTATGACCTTCCCTGGCATTTGATACAAAAAAAAAAACCTCTGATAAAGCCATTGTACATAAATCAATGA